TATTATTTATTATTATTATTATTATTATTATTATTATTATTATTATTATTATTATTATTATTATTATTATTATTATTATTATTATTATTATTATTATTATTGTTATTATTATTATTATTATTATTATTATTACTATTATTATTATTATTATCACTGATATCATCTCTTTTAAACATATCACTGTATTCATTAACAATTCTTTTATCCTTTAAATACCCATCATTAACATCCCTCTCTATAAATTTGAAATTCATTATCTTTCCCTCCATACTTGATCTCATTTAAATAAGCGATAATCAAGTGATGGTCATGATTTAATTAAAGGAACAATCATTTATAGATAAACTTTAACCTTGGATAACAGATAATCTTTCATTACTTCATCAGCAGTACTAGCAATAATTCCTTTCGATCAATAAAATTAAGTAAAATATTTAATAATTTAGTCATGAAATTTGATGAATTCTACTCGACTAAATTCAAAAAAATGTTGGATGAATTTAACTGAAGCATTTTCATCATCTAATTGGTTTGGTAATTCCTTAACTGAATAATGGAGTAAGTAATGTAAACAACAAAATACTTCAAATGATCCTCAAAACAATTTATTTTCTACTTCTGATTGTTCTGCATTGCTTGCAAAGTAGAAAGTTACTTAAAGGTGAGACTTTTTTGTCCCTTTAATTAAATTCCTATAATAATTAGTAATAATGAAACGACCTTGCAAAAAAATCAACATAAAAATCATTATTACTAACAATTGGATAAGCTCGAATTTTTATTTAATAGTTACGAAATATGAGTCATATATTAATATATGTAAAACTGTGCAACAATTGAAGGACGACTTAACCAACTTGAAAAGCCAATCATTGTATCCATTAAAATCCGTTAAAAAGAAATCACTGTAATTTTAATTTTCTTAATTTCAGCTTCAATTATATGCCATCTTTTTTTGCTACTATGCAAGGTTACTGAAATTTATTTAGGTCATGGAATGACATGTCACAGTGATCGGATGGATATTTACTTAGAGTTCGATGAACCATTCAATGGTATAATTTTTGCGGATAGCGCTTATAATGAGAGTGCTTGCCGTTGGGAAGGTAAACATGAAATCAAAATGAATTTTAGCATTCCTATTTCCGGGCCAAATGGAAGTTATGCTTGTGGTATTACATTGCGACAAGTAAGTTCATACCACCTATTTGTCTATCGGCTAACTAATAATTGAATACTGAACTCACATTATTGGCAAATCAATTATTGATTATTCATTGACAGTCAACGAACCAATTAAAATAATTTAAATAATTTGGAATAACTTAGTTGTTGCCTAAATAATTTTTGACAAAAGCTAACAAATAAATTTCAGAAATTAATTAATTTAATCTTTTCGAAATTAACTAATTTGCTATTCTCGACCTAAATTTAATTTGTCCAACATAAGCTACAAAATTGCTTGCTTCTATACTAAATAATAAACTCTGGTATTGTATTTACTATTTGAAATTTGAATATACTAAAGATTTACTTTCCTTAACAAATCAAGAGCTGAAGTTTTACGAATGAGCTTCTTTAAAATAATAAAAAGCAGCTTAGCAAGTAATAAATCAAATCTAACATTTAATTCCAGTATCACTGTGGCATAAAAATTGTTATGGTCAACTTATAGGCAACAGGTGAAGTAATTTCCATGCTAATTATTAGCCCAATGAAGCATATTTTGGTAGATGGTGTGACAAGTTTGCAAATTCGATGTTTATATACGACCAATGATATCACTATTACCATGGCTGGTTTGCAAATTATGTTAGTTTCCACATTGATTATTTCAACTTTGCCCTATTTATTTAACTATATATATATATATATATATATAATAAATATA